CACACAACCTTTTTATTCTGACGGTAGGTTTGGTTTAAAAACCGAAGAGCAAAGTGGAGGCGCCAGAAAAGACTATCATATAGTGTGGGAAGCACAGAAAATTAAATTTGTATTGTGTATATTGCATGCGTCATTGAAAAAGCAGAAAGCCATGTATGTGTGAGCGCTTAAGTTACATACATTTTTTGTAAATACTATTGTTATAAAATAAAAAGCTACAACAATTATTCTTATCTTTAAAAATGTTTACTTTTTGTGTCAGTTAAATCAAGTGTCATATTTTTATTGTTTCATTTATTTCACTCTATTTGGGGAAAAAAGGTGAAAATGAACCTGACTTTATTCTCATAGATCTCCATATCAGTCTATATAAACCAGTGATTGTCTGTCTGGGGGCTCAGAAGATTACTGGTGGTATTACCTTTGTATTCTTTATCTTGGCAGATAACAGGGATCAGAGTTAAACTACTGGGAATAGCTATTGTTAGTTCTCTGAATGTATGTTTATATACCCGGGTATTACTTTACAAAGGGTGATGTCAATACTGTATTTGTAAGTGAGTAAACCTGACCTTAAACATTTTCTATAGAAATATGACATTACTTTTACGCTATGCTTTATTTCAGACCCATAGGTCTACATTTGTATACAAATAATAAAATCAAAACAATACCAACACAACAAACCAGAGTTGCAGCCTGATCAGGGCACATACACTTTATTCTGATGTCTAAACTAAAGGAATGACTTGTTTCACTTTGTGTGTGCTCAGTTAATACTATTATGTTGAGCTTTCTTAATCAATTAATTGACATTTACATGAAAGGTGGGAGTATACTGGTCACAAAAATATGAAGTGCTCTTGTCCATCTTGTGAGTTGGACAAAGATTGTGACCTTGGCACTCTTTGAATTTTTCTTTTCTGTAAATGAACCCACGTGGGCAATATAAATCGGGTAGTTTTACTATCATTTATTTTCAAGATTATTATAATGTAATTATAATTATGTAATGTGTGAACAACTTAGATTGCAGGTTCCTCAACAGTGCAATTTACAATAAATAAAACAATATATATAAAAAACACCTGTGCACTGTGTAGTTTATTTGTCAGCATATTAGGTTGTGCCTACAGTTTGTAGCACTGATGCTTTTCCCCACAGTTGGTCAACCATAAAGAATGAAGGGAAATGTTGCTTCTCCTTGATTTCAGCAATCATCATTACACTATTTTTAGATTTAGATTGAATATCATACTGCAGACAATAACTTGAGCAGAGTATGAAGAGTTGATTAATCTGCAATATTTATATGTAATATTAACTCCATCTCCTTTCCAATAACCAGTTGCATTATTAATGTAATGAATATTAATGACTGATTTAAGTTGAAATGCATCTTATTTATTTTATTCTGGAAAGTTTGAATGACGCAGTAAACTTCCGGTTACGCAACATCTCAGACGTTGTTTTTACGCTGGTTCTGAAGTTAGCCGACGGTAACTAGTTAGCTAGCTAATTTGTTATACTTAGCGGCGTTCACGCAGTTTTAACTGTATAGTTGTATACTACTTGCTCTAAATAACTAAACTGGGTTTCCAAAGTACAAGAGTCGTCTTCCGTTACGTTTTAGTCGGTGTTTGTTGGTAAATAAATCGCCCTTAGCCGTTTAGCCTAGCAGGCTAACAGGGTCTACAATGGAGGGCAGCGCCAGCGTGAGGAAAGCTCTGTTCGGGACTCTAGTCCCTGTTACAGTCTCAACAATGGCTCTTCTCCAACAACCAGAGAAGGAGGACAAAGAAAAGACGAGGAGAAAGGTCCTCGATGAAGATAATTATATTGAGGTAACTAAATGACAGACTACTGTTTATGCTACGACGTAGGGACGAGCTATAAGTTATCATCAACGTGCTGTGTTAGCTCGATTATTGCTAACAAATTAAAAGGTTAAATAGCATTTTTAGTGTATTTTATAAACATACATTTGGTGTTTATCGTTGGTTGAGTCCAGTTGATTTAGTTATATCATTATCCTAAGTGTCCTTTAGCTTTGAAACCATTAGAAAAGGAGCAAAAAGCTCTGGTTACCCTGAGTGTTTTGTGGACAAAAATAATGTTATTAATAATACAGAAGATGTGGTTAATGCTTTTAATGAATTCTTTGTAAATGTGGGGCCAGATCTGGCTGAAAAAATTAAAACCGTAGAAACAACTAAAGGGGAAGATACGGACCTCTGGAATGAAAACAATAGCTCTTTCTTCCTCACACCAGTCGAAGAAAAATAAATCGTAGATACTGTGCGAAAATGTAAAAGCAAATCTTCGACCGATTGGAATAATATTGATATGATTATAGTAAAAAACATTATTGAAGAAATTGCAGAACCATTGACTCATTTCTTTAACTTGTCTTTTCAATCTGGTAAATTCCCAAATAAAATGAAAATAGCAAAAGTTATACCATTATATAAAACTGGGGATAAACACCATTACACAAATTACAGACCTGTTTCTTTGCTCTCCCAGTTTTCCAAGATCCTTGAAAAGCTTTTTACAAAAAGACTTGACAGTTTCATGGAAACACATCAGCTTTTGGACGACAGTCAATATGGATTCAGGAAAGATAGATCAACATCTATGGCACTAATGGAATTAAGTGAGGAAATAGCAAACTGCATGGACAATAAAAAACAAGCAGTGGGAATATTTATAGACTTACAAAAAGCATTTGACACCATAGATCACAATATTTTTCTGAGAAAACTGGAACGGTATGGCATCAGAGGGGTGAGAGATTATTTAAGCAACAGACAACAATTTGTTGAAATTGGTGAACATAAATCAGAATACATGAACATAACTTGTGGAGTACCTCAGGGGTCCGTGTTGGGTCCAATGCTGTTCATAATATACATCAACGACATTTGCAGAGTATCAAATATATTGAAATTTATTTTATTTGCAGATGACACTAATATTTTTTGTTCCGGTGACAATTTGAAAGAGCTAATGGAGGTAATAACAGCAGAAATGATTAAAGTAAAACATTGGTTTGATAATAACACATTATCATTAAATATAATCAAAACAAATATTATGCTATTTGGAAAACACAAAACAAATCCACAGGTGCAATTCATCCTAGACAACATAAACATAGAAAGAGTATAAAATGAAGTTCCTTTGGTGTGGTTTTGGACCACAAAATCAGCTGGAAACCTCATATCACTCATGTAAAAGCAAAACTGGCAATATTGGGAAAAGCCAGACACATTCTGGAGTACAACTCATTGTATACTCTATATCAGTGGTTCTCAACCTGTGGTACGCGTACCACTGGTGGTACGCCAGCTCCCGCTAGTGGTACGTGGAGGAATCTGACATATAACAAATATATTAAATATATATATTTTAAAAAATAAAATAAAATTTTATTTAAAGGTGGGGTTGTTAATTTTGGAGAAACCAGCTCGAGTGCGCTAGAATTTGAAAATACACAACCGGAAAAAAATCTGCCACTTCCTTACAGAGCCCCTCCTCCAACACACACAAATGCGCACATGACCAATGAGGGCACAAGATAACTTTGTGCACAGATGGAAGGCTGACAGGCAGGTAGGCCATCCAGTTATTTTAGCCGGGCTGGCTAAAATGATTGGTCGTTCTTTTTACAGAACTACGACTTCCACAGATGACATTTTTTTATGGATTTTTGTCAAAGCACTTAAGATATTCATTGCTATCGGGATGTTAATCAACAAGACTGGAACTCCAAACAAATTTTACATCTAAGGAGAGTTTAATATGGTGGGAGAGCAGATGCTTGTTACAAAACATTAAGGATCCGTCACTAATACAGAACGAGGACCATGTACCTAAGATAGTCAAAATTTAAAATTGGTCTAGTTACTTGAAGTAATACACACTGGAAGTTTTTATATGTAATCAGCCACAAGTTCTATGGTTGTAATAACTATGAGAAATTAGGGAAAAAACATTACATATATTGGCGACATCCAACTCAAAACAGCACAAAAGGGTTTAGAGGGTGTGTCATTTAGTCTAATACCGTTATTAGTCACCAATATATCTCGTCACCCAAGAGTTGGAAAAATGTGAATCATTGTTTTTGTAAATTTTTTTTTTCTTATGTTAATTTCTGTTCACACACGAAAAAAGTCCGAAAACTGGAGCCAGTGTCGGAAGAGAGGTAAGAAACTCGTTTTACGGAAGGAAAAGGACTCAGTTTTTGGAAAGAGAGGAGGTAGTGTCGCCGACACGTATAGTGGAAAACACCAACGACCCGCCTCCGGACGCGAACACGAAGCCAACTAACCTGACAGGAGTAGGAGTAAGTGCAACAATGAAAGCGGACCCATTATAAGAGGAGACATTGGAGAGAAGTCTTATGAGGGCAAAAGTCGGTCTGCAAAAAATTTGATAGTAAGTCGAAAGAAGTCGAACGAACGTTTGTAAGCGATTAGCACAGCGTTCCCATCATTCCAGCATAATCGTTGCGGCTTATTTTATGTTTTTTACAAAAGCAAAGATTTAGATTTTTAGTTGGTTTTTCGGATAATCCTTGATTAAATTTGGTGTCAAGTTATACAAGTTGCGTAAAATTAAAAGTAAACCAAACTCAATAAAACTAATCATACTAAATAAAATTAATTACAATAAGTTAGTTCGGGAGGTTGACTTCACCGTGAACAGGGATATCGGACAAATTAAACTCAACAGACTCCAGGAATGGTAGTTCGACCGAGAACGTCATTATTATCACCAATGGAATATACAGGGTTTACACGTGTTACATCACTAGACGAAAAGCAGAAAAACAAATGAATCAAACACACAGGACATAAACTATACAGACACGAATACACATTTCCAATTTCCACCCCCATCTATTCAAAACTTCTTTGGCCCGGAGCTCTATGTGAAAAACAATATAGGTANAATATGTATAAACAATGCAGAGCACCTAATCATTGCTTTACTTATTTGTTTTGTCCTTGTGGTCGAGGGGGAGTTCTTTCTCTATAATAATAATAATGAAAACAAATAAGTAAAGCAATGATTAGGTGCTCTGCATTGTTTATACATATTCAGTAACAGTTTAGAAAAGTGCCTATTTGAGTACTTTATTGTGTGTATTGTGACGTTTAGAGTCAGTCAGACCAGTAATCCTACACAGAAGGACCTACCTGGGGTCTTGTTGACCTGTGCTTCCTCGTCCATATAATGGGATTACTTTGTCTCGGCTGATACCGGCTTTACACACAGGACACACTTGTCTGTTGGGTCTGGTCTCCAACCACTACACAAAGACAAAGACATTAAAGACATGGCTGTCTGCATCAGTTATACACCAACAATTACAATACAATGTCATTGTCAAATAAAGGTTCAGCTTACCTGATGCAAGCAAGGCCAACTGATCGGGAGATGGTGCAAAGGAAAAGGAGAGTTGACAGGAAAGAGGTTTGATTAATAAAACATATACGAACTACAAGGCTGAGCAAAATATAAAACACTCATTTAATCAATAACTGTAATTAATAATCCCAGATATCTGACGAAATGCTAAACATCCACCGTCAGCTCTTTACAGATAACTTCAGATACCGCAACCCCACATTTAAATATTATCATAGAGGTTTGGAAAATGTGAATTCATTTAATTCATTTAGAGCTGCAAAGATTATTCAATTAATCACCAACCATTGTGTTTCTTCAAAGATCTTTTTTGGGGTTTCTTTACACGTAATGGGCGGAATAAACAGCAAGAAAATGTATAAAGAAAATAATCAACGGATTAGGCAACGATAAAAATATTTTTTATTTCAGCCCAGCAATCCTGTAATAGCTTGGAATGGTATTCATTGTTTTTATTCTAGAAAAACAATTATTTGGGAGAATATCAACCAATATTTAGTTTTTTTGTAAATCACCAGAATAAAATACATTAGCAGGTTTAGCTTTAGTTTGTATACATTTTAAAGAGATACGTAATGTGCAAAGTCTACACATGACTAGATATCAGCAATACAACTGATGATAGCTGTTGTTGATGTTGCTGTTAGTTAAAAATCATGGCTTTGATGGCTGATATTGTCCAGTAGGATATACTGTATGTTGATATGCTGGATCATGTCTGGTTCAAAACAATGAGAAATTATTTGAACTAGACTGATCTGGATCTTAAAGCAAAAGTGTAAACAAGAGTGACTGATCGTAGCTCTTACCAGAATAGATGTCCACACAGACTGATAACTGCATCCTTGGCGGTGTCCAGACATATATTACACTCAAAAGTACTGTCCTGGTTGCCACTGTCGGACGCAGTGGAGCTGCTGGATCCGGGATTCGGGTTCTCAGTGGCCGCAGTGGAGCCAGGGACTGGAGGGGGAGCCGCGGTGGCCATTTAAAGATAGATCCACTGAACAAGAGGGTACAGGCGAGATGACTCCTCTGGCACCCAGCTCTTCAAAACGCGTTCATATGGAGGTCCAGTTGATGGGGGGTTGTAGCTAACAAAGAGGGGAAGACGAGAGACTGAGTTTGAGAACAACAACTCTCGAAAGAGACCTGAAATCGCATAAATCCACCGGCTGCTAGCTAACGTTAGCTCTCATCTAGAAAGGTGTCGTTACGGAGTAGCTAACGGAAATAAACAGTCTGACGGATTAACAGAACACAAAGCAACATATACAAATAACACAGCGTCAATCCTAAAGGTTGTCTGTGTTCATTACCAAATGACAATAAACACTTGTTGCGAGAAGTTGAGAAATATCCTGATATCTGGTTGCATCACATCCGCAGCACTGCTAACGTTAAACATCCGGGGGAATCTAGGGGGCGTGGCTAAAAGGTAACATGGGATTTTGGTTCCCTCAGTAAGGCCTCGCAGGTGAATAAACTCCACCAATCAAACATCGGCATCTTTTATTCAGTAATAATAACCCTTAGTTATGCAGGTGTAAGAGCAGCAACACAGGATAATTCGTCAATATGAGCTTTTTCTTTCATATACTTTTGCCATTGTTAATTTATGGATTAGACCAGGTCATATATATCATATAAAGTACAAAGCAACATACCAGTCTCTACACCATATGCCTACCTACGAGGGGTTTTGCGGCTCAGTAAAATTTCCATAGCAAAAATCATCAACAAACCTCATTCATTTAGTACTTTCCTTTTTATATGTGCAGGCATCAAATCATTTGTTTTTCAAGAACATTTAATAGAGGGCAGATTTGATGGCTACAAATTAAAATGTTCACTTGAATTATGTTTTAGTTCACAGTTTGCTTAACCAAATAAGATTTAATATATACCATGTTGTAAAAATGAATTTAATTCCATAAAAAATATTTAATTCATCTTGTAACAATCAATTTGGTAACAAGCTGGTTTACAATCATAACAGCACATAAGTCATTTATTCACTTCGGACTGTTTTGTCATGCACATGTGTTATAAATCAGTAACAGTGAGTTATAAATAAATCACGGATACATAAATGTATACATGTATAGGCAACAGTATACTGAGATAAAACATGCAATAACGGATGATTTTGTCAATTTTCACCAAGCTATAATCATGTTCTCTGATGTTATTGACTTGAACATTTTCAACTTGATTTTAGATAATTTCCATTGCTTTAGACCTTGAGTGATTGAGACCACCTGTACGGAAATCCTCCGCCATCGCCTCCTCTATTCTCGATTTTAAAGACCTCTTCAGGGTTTTTTTAAAGTCATTGCCAATGAACACATAGAGTGCAGGGGATATGAAGCTGTTTGCTGCAGCCAGCGTGGCCCCCACCTTCAGGCCAGTTTGAAGAACTTCCAGGCTGTGGTTCATCCAGTCTGACTCTAAAAGAATAAAGCTATGATAGGGGACCCAGCAGAAGAAAAATGACAAGATGAGTGCTGCCATGACTTTGTAAGGCTTTGTGGACTTCTTGGTCAAACTTCTCAGCTTCACACATAGCACTGAGCTGCAGAACACAATTATAAGGAAAGGAATGAGGAACCCGCAGATGAATCGAGTCAGCACCACTGCCTTGTGTCTGGAGTGGCCCATGTAGCTGGTGTGGCACTGAGTCACCGAGCCGTGCACTGTGGTTTGTCGATAGATCAGTGAAGGCAACGTCAGCAGTGCAGAAAGGACCCACATTAGGACAAGAACTCCTACTGCTTTCTGCACTGTCCGGTGATTATGTGACCACACAGGAAATGATACCATTATACAGCGATCAGCGCTGATCAGCACCAATAGGAACACACAGCTGTACATATTGAGAAACAGGGCAGAGGAAGTGAACTTGCACAACACCAGTCCGAAAGGCCAGTGTGAGGTGATCATGTAGACAATTTCGAGGGGCAAAAAGGCACAAAACAAAAAGTCTGAAATGGCCAAGCTGATGTACCAGGTGGTGATGACCGTTCTTTTCATTTTCCATCCACAAATCCATATCACTAGTGAATTTCCTCCAAGGCCAATAACTGATATAATGATGTTCACTGCCACCAGAACATGATTCAAAGAAGAATGATAACTACTGAAATGTAGCAGTCCAGTTTTGATGGTGTTGTTCTCAGTTTCATTGTCTGTAGTGTAGTCATCATATTCAATATAATCCACACTCATGCTGGTAACTTGGCCTGAAATATGTAACATAGAGATTTTATTATTAAAGATAAACACAAAGACATTGTATGAAGAAGAACAGACATCCTTTACATGAGTCAATTCAGAAATACTTTAGTCTTAAAATACAACAAAGTACAATTCCTCTATTCAAAATGTTATTTAAGAATAAGAATTATCAACAGAATTTATAAGGAGGAAGTATCGACAATTAAAAGTACACATTGTGCATGTTTTATTATACAAGTCATATATCATAATAAAAAAGTACTATTGTTTTTATTGCCTTTATTGTTAAAGGTTGTCAATGTTAAGCCAATTTAACCCTCCGGTATCATTCGATTGGACTACGCAAATTAGTCATTTGAGACAAAAATGTCCACTACAAAAGACTTTGATAAAAACATTATATTAAAAGGTTTTTTTCACAAACCTTTTTGGGTTCAATCTTTAAAGCAACTTCCGCCCTAATAGAAAATACCAACATTTTTATCATTTTCAGGATTTTAATCCTTTAAATGCCATTTTGAATACATGAAACCGCTGTTTTTTTTCATGATGAAAACAGAGAAAATTAGTTATTTTTCATAAAATACATATCTGGGGACTGGCTCTTTTTTTTTATCACAGTCTTGGATATGTCAAAGATTAGCAACAACATTGATTTTGGTTGATTATTAGTTTTTGCACAAAATCAGATTGAACAAAAAAGTCACAGATTAGTCATTCGTGACAAAAAGGTCCACTTCCAAAAACTGCTCTAAAATGACAACAGAGTAATATTTTCAAAAACTTTTTGGGGTTAAATCTTTCAATCAACTTCAGTCCTGATCAAAAATATCAAATGTTAAATTATGTTCAGGATTTTAACCCTTTATTTTGGTGGATTATTAGTTTTTGCACAGAATCAGATTAAACAAAAAACTCACATTAGCCACTCGTGTTCCATCCACTCCCATTATAACCACATCTTTTGATCTCTCCGCCATACCGGTATAAAATCATGCATTTTGTAATGTCAGGGTTTTATATAGGAGGTAATTAGTTCAATGTGTCCTTTTTACTGTATATCACCAGATGTGACATTTTACCATTGAATTACATCCTTGTCATTTCTTGGTTTCTTTGCCTGTTGTATAATGGGGCCCTTCCAGCCATTGGAATACATTTATGCAACTAATATGATGTAGGTGTGTTGGTATGGATGTGGAAGAGTGGTATCAGCTGAGAAATGTATGTGTGTGTGTGTCTGGATGTACAATGTGTGTGTGTGTACAGAGACAACAATATACAGTATATTTGGTTTACAGCAAGTCGCGGTTTTCGCCTCATATCTCTCTTTCTTTCTCTCTCTTTTTCTCTCACTCCCTCATTCCCAAACTCATACACACTCTTACATATTAAACCTCCTTATACTGTACCTTGTATGTGTGTGAGTGATTGTGTGTGAGAATGAGACAGGAGTAAGTGTGCTCTCATGGCGTTTTGTTTTTCATTTGTGCTGTGTCATGTGTCTAGAGGTAAACAGATGTATGATCTTGACCCAGCTTGACCTCGATGTTTTGAATGGTTTGGAACTTCAAAGTCCTTTGATAATGTCTCTTTAGCAAACAGACATACACAGCCATACATACACTCCTTGAAGTAAATAAAAACACCTGGCTGCAAAGCCAAAGCTTCAAATATGTGTAGTTTGGCTGGCTGGTCATTTCATTCCTGTGATATGCAACAAGCAGTAAGAGGACCTTCTCTGAGGGACAAGAGGTCTCATGCAGCCCGTAACTTCAGCTGCAGGACTCATCCTCTGAAACAGAAACACCCTGAGAAGGAGAATCTTGTGTGGATCTGCCTGAACTGTGCTTGAAAGGAGTCAGCACAAAGATAAAACACTTTTTTGCCAAACATGAGAAGGAGAATCTGATGTGGAGTTTGTAGTGGAGTCTGATCCTTCTTCGTCCGACCCTTCCCCTGAAAGTGGAGAGGACACAGAGGATCCCATCCCGTAGCTGCGCTACATGCCTCTGCACTATCCTATCCGGAGGATCGTGTCCATCGTGGCAGTGGGCCTGACATCAAAACATTTTCAAATCTGGTTTCCCTCTCACGAGGAAACGCCGCTACATTCCTGCTGCCAGAGGTTTGGTTTCAGGGCCCACGCGTTATGCCATTACGAGTGGCATAAATAAGAATTCATGACGTGGAATCCTTCTTTGATTTATTCTTTACCCCTGAGATCATCAGCAGTATTGTCGACATGACACACCTGCATGGGGGACGTTCGGTGGCAAACTGGAGGGATGTTGATGCCACAGATGTTTGAGCAAACATTGGATAGGATAGTGCAGAGGAATGTAGCGCAGCTACGGGATGGGATCCTCTGTGTCCTCTCCACTTTCAGGGGAAGGGTCAGACGAAGAACGATCAGACTCCACCACAAACATCTGATTATTTCTCTAAGCATGGCTTCACGTGGCGGCGCAACAAATATTCTTGTTACTCCTGGGGCAATCTCTGGTGCTATCATCCCCTTTGTGGTGTGATTGAGGAGGAGATCACTAAGCACTTTAGTGAACATCAGGCTTTTTCCATCTAAAAGGTTTTGTAGTCCTTCATACATCTCAACCTCATCACCATCGTGTTGTTCCTCAGCAGCTCCTCTGCAGCTCCTCAACCTCCACAGCAAAGGACCTAATCGATTCCTCTGTATCAACGTGGGATTCGGGGCAGAATTGTTCCTTCTTCTCTGCCCCCATCCGATAAATGAACTGTTTGGCAAAAAAGTGTTTTACCTTTGTGCTGACTCCTTTCAAGCACAGTTCAGATCCACACCAGATTCTCCTTCTCAGGGTGTTTCTGTTTCAGAGGATGAGTCCTGCAGCTGAAGTTACGGGCTGCATGAGACCTCTTGTCCCACAGAGAAGCTCCTATTCATCTTTCTGGTCGTTGCGTATCACAGGAATGAAATGACCATCCAGCCAAACTACACATATTTGAAGCTTTGGCTTTGCAGCCAGGTGTTTTTATTTTCTTGAAGGACTGTATGTATCGCTGTGTATGTCTGTTTGACATTATCAAAGGACTTTGAAGTTCCAAACTATTCAAAACATCGAGGTCAAGCTGGGTCAAGTCATCTGTTTACCTCTAAGACACATGAAACAGCACAAATGAAAAACAAAACGCCATGAGAGCACACTTACTCC